CGAAACTTTGACGTGGATTTTTGAGGGCTTGCACGATGAATTTCGCGATTCCGACGCCATATTATGTTGGCCACGCACATATGGAACACGTATGTGCGAAAATTGGAATTTCGGTTCGGGATCGGAAAATTACGAAAATGCCCCTAGGCCTATTTTCCTTTATTCCGAATTTTGACCAAAATTTGGGGACTAACCAAGGTCAATTAGGCTAAACCAGGTCTGGTCAGCCTTGGGTTAGGGACAAATGACCAATGGGCCCTTAAATTATTAGATAAGATCAATTGGTGACCCTTGGATCAAGGGCAAAGTTGTCCAAACCCTTGGATTTTTGACACATGGATCCCACTAAGCTATCTTTGACCCATTTGACCAGATTGTCTTCTCTCTCTCTCTCTCTCTCTCTCTCTCTCTCTCTCTCTCTCTCTCTCTCTCTCTCTCTCTCGCGTACAGAAGCATTCAGCCATTTTTTCCCCAGAATTTTCCTCTTCTTCTTCACGTTTCGGTTCTGCGGTCCGTTTCGCCATTTCCTAGATCACCGTTCACGCCGGAACAAGATTACCATCGGAGCTGCCCCCACCAAGCCAGCACCACCATCAACCATTTCCACCTCTCGTGCAGCCATCACACCCTCGGTTTTTGTCCAAAAAACAGCCTTGTTTTTCTCTTTTTCTCTTTCCAGTGCCTCGCAAACAAGATCAGGAGCTTTGCGGAGCTCCGATCGTCGTTCCGTCGACACCCAACCGTCCAGCCTCGCCGTACGTCGTCGTCCAAAGCATAGTCCGTACACGGTGTCCCCGTGCGGTGCATTCATCGTCCGTACGGATCACATTCCATGCCACGCCGACCGTGCGGGACGCCATGGTGTCGCCACGGCACCTCGCCGGCCACCGTCCCAGCCCTATCCGTACAGTGTCCGTACGGAGTGGTACTGTTCACCGCGTCCGTACGGGGGTACACTGTTCCGCCGTCCGTACATCGCCGGCGACGCTGCTGCCGCTGTCCCGGCCCGTTCCAGCACCGTTCTGTCTCGTCTTTTTGGGTAAGTGTTTTCCCCAAATGTCATTTAGGACCTCGGGTATTTCTAGACTAGTTTGAAGTTCGGTTTAAGTGATTTTAGGGACTGTTTGTGGCTGTTTCGTGTCTGTCTTCGGGACTAAGTTAGGGGTTGAATGTTTGGAGGTTATGGGCTGATTGGGCGACGAAATTCGAGGTTTAGGAATGCTGAGTTAGGGCTGTGATGTCGAGGATCGATCGGGAATTAAATGGGTGATTAATTGGAAATGTATTGGCTTGATTGGGTTTATCGGATTAATTGTGTAGTTTGCTGTCATTGGCTTGTTCTAGTTTGTGCTTGGGCCGAATGTGATGTGGTGCTATGCCGTGTGTGTGGCCGTGAGGTGTGGTGGCGTGGACATGTGAATGTGCATTGAGTTCGTGTGCCGAGTGTGGGTGATCATGTGGTGTTCGTGCGATGAGAATGCGTGTTTGTGAAGTGTACGTGAGATGTGAATTTGGTGCGTGGCTATGTATGTGTGAGGCATGTATGTTTGGCCGTGCGAGTGCTGGTTGTGTGTAAGTGTGGTTTGAGCGGAACGAGGATATGGAAATGTGGATTGGTTGGAAAGGTCCGTCCTGAGGCGTGTACGTTTACGCGGGACGATGCCGTCCCTGACGAGGTGACGATGCCCGGCCTGACGAGGTGTCGATGCCTGACGTGGTCAGAAGACCGTTGGCCTGATGCGTTTTACGCGGGCGCGGTAGAAGGAAAGTGTGTGTAGGATTCCGTCCTGAGGCGTGTACGTTTACGCGGGACGATGCCGTCCCTGACGAGGTGACGATGCCCGGCCCGACGGGGTGACGATGCTTGACGAGGTCAGAAGACCGTTGGCCTGATGCGTTTTACGCGGGCGCGGTAGTGGTGGAAAGGTTGAAAATGAGTGGGATTTGGCAAGACAAGCGAGAGGATTATGGAAAGTGACGCATGGTGTGAGTAGCATGCGAGTGTGTTTGTATCACGTGATGTGATGCTTAATTATGGGGTAGAAACTGCTAGGCACGGTATGGGACGTGCCCAAGTGGTTTCTGTCTTATAATTGAGGCACACGCGTGTCTGTGATTCCTTGCTGTGATGTGTTGGCTGTGTTATTGTCTAACGTGCAGGAACGTGCGTGATGGATTCCAGGTAGGGTCGCATGTGATTGTTAGTTTGGCCGATCGTTGTGTGTTATGGGTGTTTTCGTCTGGCGGTACGTGAGTGCCTACGTGGGGTTTGGGGTTATACACTTATTGAGATTCGTCTCACGGTTGTATAACCGCCACTTTGAACCCGGCCCTAAAGCCAGGAAGTGCGCCTTTTCTTTTTGGAAGTCCGGGAGCTACTTGTTGGTGCCCAGTGGAGCTGCAGGTGAGTTCCAGAAATTCAAGCCAGAGATTCAGAAGCAGATTGGAGGAGGGCGATCCTTAGGTTTTTCCTTAAGGTTTTGGGGGTTGTGTAAATCGGGTTGACCCATAGGGAAGTTAAGTTAACCAGACCCTGATATTTTGTTGACGGTGATTTCGGATGCTAGTTTGTTAATTATGCCTGTAATATGATGTATGTATATTTGGTGTTGTATGAATATGTGGTTCTTTGGATTGTTACGTTGTTCTACCCCGTTTGTCGTCATTATTTGTCCGGGGTTTTATTATTCGCTTCCGCATGTGGCTCTGATGTTTGGGTTGGGTCGGCGACGTTCCTGGGACGTCGCATCATTTCGACCGGAGCAGGGGATGTCGCGAGCTCGATGGGGTTCGGGGCGTGACAAAATCACCATGGGAGATCTTATTTCCAATGGTTCTATCTATTGTTCATCTCAGAGTTTTTGGCTGCACAATGTATCCCAATTTTCGACGCTATGCAAAGAGTAAACTGCAACCAAGGTCACATCGGTGCATTTTCTTAGGCTACCCATCAGGATACAAAGGATACCGGTGTTATTCCCCTCAGCATCGACGGTTCTCAAGTGTTGCTGATGTAGTGTTTGACGAATTAGATCTCCCTTATGCGCAAAACACTCCGCAATCATCTTCGGAGGCTGCCGCAACCATTCAGCCGCTTATTTTTGCTGAGTTGTCCGGAACTCCTCTGCCACAGCAACCACCACGTGAGCCATGTTCTCCCTCTAATTGCGATTTACAGTCTACTAATTCCTTGCCGCAGAATCAGCGCGGTTCAGGTGTGTCCGAAACCTCACTGCATGAACCCGCTGATGGGTCTCCCTCTCAGTCCGCAGCTTCACCAATCCTGCCAGCAGCTTCTCCGCTGGATCCACTAGCTCAGCCTACATATTCTATGGTGACACGCCTTCATGATGGCACTTTAGCCCGCATTGTAGGGGCTCTATAGTATATCACAGTCACTTGTCCAGATATCGCATATGCTATCAACACAGCTTGTAAATTCATGCACTCTCCCACTGAGATCCACTGGCAATTTGTTAAAAGGATCCTTCGTTTCATCAAAGGCACTCAACATCATGGTATTCTCTTCACTCCCAGCTCTTCTTTTCAGCTGCATGCTTTTTCCGATGCGAGATGGGCTAGTGCTCCAGATACTCGTCGCTCTGTTGGTGGGTTTGGCATCTTCTTGGGTTCAAATCTCATTTCATGGAGCTCCCGCAAACAGTGGACCGTTGCCCGATTCAGTACCGAAGTTGAGTTTAAGTGTCTTGCTGACACCACTGCAGAACTTATTTGGATAGAAGCTCTACTACGTGATCTTCATGTTCGTCTGCCCGCTCCTCCTGTCCTTTGGTGTGATAATCTTTCTGCTATCTAGCTTACTGGCAATCCCATCTTCCATGCTCGCACTAAACATGTAGAGATTGACTACCACTTTGTGCGCGAGCGTGTGGCCAAAGGACAACTTCATGTTCAGTACATCTCCACTCATGATCAACCAGCCGACATCTTCACTAAAGGCCTCTCCACTCCTCGGTTCCGTCTTCTTTAGATCAAGCTTACTATGACTCTTGCCACATCAGCTTGCGGGGGATGTTAGACAGCAAGGCTACAGCTCAGCAGAGATTTCCTCCATGATTATTTTCCTATTTTAGAGATATAGATATATTTAGGAGATTTTGTTTTGATTTTGATTTGATGTAATTGATATTTTGTTATTTGTTACTTTAGATAGTTAACCTTTAAAGCCTATAAATAGGTACATGTACTTTTCATTAGCGATATACAAAAATATTATTAAACACAATATATGGCTGCCTTTAGCCGCAACTCTTGTTGCCTTAAGATATTAATTTCTTGAGGTTTTACAAGTACGTGACTTCCCTTGCTTGCTGTGCTTGATAATTGTGATGTGCCGAGTGTGATTTGTACGCTTCAATGATTAGTCGATGATTTGGAAAGCCCACCCCTTGACGTGTTTGTTTGATGGTTTTGTCTGATCGATCATTGTGCGAACATCATAATGCTTTCATTGAGTGTGAAGCATGAATGAATACTATGAGATAGTGGGGGAGATCGAGTCATGGAGGTGGACTGGAGAAGGTCGGAGACTACCGTTAGTTGTATTTAGGATTAGGGTTAGTTTTAGAGTTTGAACTCTAGATTAGGCTAGATCATAGACTTAAATTTCTGCGAAAGAAGACCAGGCCATTCAATTAGGTTGGTCCCTGAATGAGTCTGGGGCTTCCGTCCAGGGTCCAATAAAAGCTCTTAGGACATGAGCCAACTTTGCGAGGAGATTCAACAATTGCAGGAAGTACAAAGCATAAGGGACAACTGCAGCTATGGTTGTCTCCTTGGCGTGACGATCAACTGCGCACACCCCTCCCCTGTGGAAGGGCCAATTAACCTATGGCGTACCAATTAAAACTTATGGATCAAAATGTAGAACATTGTAGAACATGACAAAGTTTGTAAGGGAATTGGGAAACGGATCATAGATACTATAAATACATGGACTGTTTGCTCCAATATAAAAACTTTTGGAGTAAACAGAAGAAATGCGGTAAGTTGATGAAGGTATCTTTTCATGAGCCCAAAAGAAGAACACTCCCACTAGCGATGCAACAACAAAATAACAAACGGATAGTGTAAATTTACATTCAGAGCGATGAACCGAAAAGGGACGGCCTGGCAGAACATTATGAGCATCAGTTGTTGAAGAGAGGTGAAGCAAAACCAGAAGCAGCAGGTGGCTTCCTCACAAAGGGATGGTCTAGCAACTCCACTGCGGAAGGCCGATCCTTCGGGTTTTTTCGCAAGCATGTGAGGATGAAGTCTCGAGCGTTGCTTGATAAAGATTGGGGAACTCGAGGACGTATACCCTTGCCAATTCTGTACAATGCTTGCGCCTGCCATGATAAGAAAGAAAATGTAGCAGAGGCCAGTGTTAATATTAAATCCAGGGGGAACTAACATATGACAGCAGGATAAATCAATAAGATCTATAGGCAAATCTAAGGGCATTATGCTTCAGGCAATCATCTGTCATGATCATTTTGGAATCACAGTTATTGCAGAGTGGGAGACATGGATGACATGTAACAGTTCACAGGGACGAACAACGTGAATGTCTTCCATCTACTTCCAATGAAACTTAAGTATCCATTTTTTTTGCTCAAAATTCTAAAGTGTCCTAAATTTAACAAAAAAGTAAAAGAAAGGGGGCGTTAGTTGCACCTTCACTCACCTTATGCAATAAATAAAATCCTAAGATAAGCACATAAGCAGTGCGACCTTCAGAGTTCACTCACAAGACCAGAGCAATCCAAACTTTTTTTTTTTTTTGAATAAGAGCAATCCAAACTTTAGCGGCAGCCATTCTGTGAACAAGGGTGTTTCTGTGCTGTCATGCCCTAAAAAGGGATAACATCAGCAGGTGATTTACTGGCTAGAGCTAGTAATTACCATCCTTGATGGAAAACTTACTACGCATATGGAGAAGTTGCCAATTTGACATAGGACATGAAAATTGTCATAATCGAAAGTTACCAACCAAATTGAAAAGTTGCTAACTTCCATATCCAAAGAAACTAACCCTAGCAGAGAAGACACCCATCCCGGTCAACAATTCATTCAGACAAGACCAGCAAAGGATCGATACTCAAAGGCAACGAGGGAAACGTCGAGAGTGATAATGGCCAGTGACAGATCAGAGGAGAACCACACAACAAAGTTTGCAGTAACGAACACGAAGCAATCAGTGTCAGTGCTGCTCTCAGGACTGAAGCAGAGATGGCAATAACAATATTAGGATTTCAATCTCTCTTGGTTGCTCAAGTACCATGTGACAGTGAAGGAGAAGACGGAGAGATTCTTGAGACTGAATGGTAGGGTTATATGTGTACGCCACATCTATTGGGGGGCTACTATTTACATACATACAATATTCAATTATCTTAATGCATGCAACCGTACACTTATACTAGTAATTAAAAGTATTGGACAGCAATGCCAAATTACTTAAAAGAGAGTCAAGATTTAAATATGCAACTGAGTTTTCGTACCATGTTAGATAACCATTTGCTCCAGGATCTCAACCGTCGGCCATAAATACTATGCATATCCCTTGACACGACCTACTCTTGATAAATATCAATAATTCTCTGTCCTCTCTCTTTTCTACATAGTGCTCTTACTCCTTTTATTTTCTCAAAATGACGGCCTAATGGACTCGTCAAAACATGCGCTTAGCTTAGCTCAGATTGTAAGTAGCAATAACAAAAATGTTGCGACTAGTTAGTAATTCTGGCATAACACAGATCTCGAAGAGATAAAACATAAAAACGAAGGTTACTTAGTTACATACTTTATCTAATTTAGGATATGGACGCTGGCGTGTCAACATCTCTAAAACAGTGCACCCTAGGCTCCATATATCAACTTCCATCCCATAGCTTCTGTTCGACTGAGAGCTTCTTTTCTTTGGATTGACAACCTGCAGTTACGACCAACAAAGAAGACAAAATAAGGAAAAGATGTCAAAAAAAAGTATGTTAAAAAATGGCAGCGGAGGGTGCAAACCTCAGGTGCCATCCAAAAAGCACTTCCAATGAAGGTTTTAGCAGCATTCATTTCAGTGACCTGTATGAATAAAACAGAAAGTTGATATGTCATTTTGGAAAAGTAAAGGACAACACAGTCTATACGTGTGTTTGTCATGCGCTCATCCATTTGTATGTGTGCTGCACAATTTCAATGCTTGCGCATATTCCTGCACGTGTATGTATTTGAACATGCGTCTTTTGTTGCTCTCGCATGCGCTTCGTGCATGTGCATTTATTTTGCATGTGTCTTTGTTGCTCGCGCGCATGTGAGAGAGAGAGAGAGTTCACTTTCGCTAATGAGACATACCTTTGCCAGTCCAAAGTCTGCTAGTTTCACAGTTCCACTCGTATCAACCAATATGTTAACACATTTAATGTCCCTACAAAATGAAGGAACTGGAAGCATGACTGTCCATAGGATATATAAACAACTCGAAGCATTCAAATAGTAAAATAATCTTGTCTATGCAAGACATTGCTGTAAAAGCTCATAGTGTTACTTCGTTGTTTGCTGGTTATCACAAGAGATCTACTTCTCATAACACTACATTTTGGTTCAAAGATTTGACAACTCCCTTAAATCCAGAAAAGTTTTCGGCTAAGGAAAACAAGTATCATCAAAAGGCACCGAGGGAGTGTGCCATGAAACAAATTATATAAATTTCAGCGTGCTCTTTGTTTGGTTATGGTCTCTTTCCTTACCAAAATCAACATTCAATCAGGAATGAGAAGTGTGAATCACTATTTCAAATAGTCAAAACGACAAATGCAAAGTCTAGCATCTTTCTTATACCTGTGTACCACTTTCTGGTCATGAAGATACTTTAAACCATTTAGAATTTGCCTAGTGAATGTGGAGACTTGGGAATCTCTCAACTTGCGTTTGTTATAAAGGGTTGCAAGTGAACCTTTGCTCATGAGCTCAAGGAATACGTAAAGCTTCTTATCATCCTGGAAGAGAGTAAAAAAAAAATATATCTTAGAATATCCTACCAAAAAATTTAAGCTATTAAGTGGATGAAGACTAAAAGTATATAGGACACATTGAAACCACATAGACAAGCGATGTGGAATACTTTAACACCCTCTTTCACGTGCAAACCGGACAAACAACAGCACATGGAATTGATGAAAAGGGAACAAAGCACGAAAATAAATTAAGGCAGAACCTAATTCCCAATCTATGTCGGAACCCAAAAGATTAGGCTATTAAGTGGAAGAAGGCTATATGTATATACGGACCATCGAAACCCCATAAATCAATGATATAAGATATTTTAAACAGTACATAGACTACCATACCAGATAGCAAAACAAAAATCAGCGATGTTTACATTTTGCTGATCCTAATGATGCTCAATGTCTAAGCCTTTTATAACGCCTATCTAATCATTAAAACATGACAACACTCTTCCCACAGCAACCAGGTGTGCGAAGGCAAGAGGCCCCTTAGACAAGGCCCCGACGAACAGGGACAAGAAATCATTGTTAAGTTGGTTACGCTTACTGAAGTGCACTTTGGTTTTGAGGACCTCCTCAATAACCGATCAGTGTTTAGTGAGAATCTGCTCGATCGGCGTTAATTTAGTAAAGGTTTAAATCAGATGACAATAAAAAGAAATTTTGTGAACTTTAAGGGGAAAAATAAGGCAAGAATGCGTGCCAACAAAAACAGTTGCATGGTGCACTGGCGGAAGAAGGAGAGGTCCTATTCCATTAATCCCTCATTGCCACGAAACAATACGGAGGATTGTAGGTGTGGCAAACCAAATTTTGTTTGACAGCAACAATCTTTTGCGTGTTTCATCTCAAAAAAGAAGTTATGTCGTGGCACTTTCTTAGAATCTGATGCTTCTTGCCAAACTATGTTTAAAGAAAAATAACTGGGAGGTAGTCGAACATTTAAGCCACTAAGATAGGAACTACTTCCCTTACTTGAACAATGATCAATTCCATTTTTAGTTTTCTCTACTTGTACAGGTTAAGAATTATAGGATGTTGCATAACAATGAGTGGTACTAAAAGATACGCTGGATTAGAACAGATGGAAAAAACTGCCTGTGGAGGAAATCCATTGTTGTTGCTATAGCAACGACCAATTATTGACGACGGAGAAAAGGTTGGCACATTGGTCATGTGGACCATCGATGGCCAATTATAGGATACCCGAAGAATCAAATCACTTCATTTTCTTGTCCTTTCCCCACTTTATGTTTTAGTCGAGGGGGCTGCCATTTGTCTAAGCCTCAGATTCCTTTTTATTAGTCCTGAGAGTTTGACCTGAACCTTCAGTTTGCAAGGTTTTATTCTGTAAATCATCTACAACTATAAAACAAAGGGTTAATTGATTTTAAGACAGGCTCTCTTCAGAAGGGAGGGAAAAAATTTACTTTCATTGAGAGAGAGAGAGACTCCATAAACTGACGTCTACTCCGCATATCTCCTTTACTCATATAATTACTAATTCGGGTAATAGTCAATTCATCGCAAACTTTTCTTGCGGAGGGAGGGGAACCTAAGATATCTGTCTCTGTCATGAATGGCTGTTACCGCTAAAAGGCCGCAACTGCCATGATGAAGATGCTACCACTATATTGTGGCTACAACCACAGCCATGTTCCCCTCTTTTGCTCAGTTCCGGTGATATTATAAACGATGCCAAAGTGAAATATACTGCAGAATGCAACTTAATAAGAATGAACCACACCTTGTCTGTGCCGAGATATCGAACAATGTTCTCGTGTTCAAACAGACTTAAAAGAGAAATTTCCTGAAAAGAAAGCAGAGTATCACTGGAAAGAAAGAGTCAAAAGAAAATCTATTGATCTCACACCAGATTTATGGTTTGCATATACGGCAGTCTTCTTAATAGTTTTGCTATATTCATTACCATGGCAGTTGTTAGAAAGAGGTGAGTCTATTAGTCATGCCCGAGGACCAATTAACAAGAGACAGAAAGAAACAAGCAGTTACCTGCTCAAGCTGCAATTGGCTCTGCCTGCCTAGGCTTCCTTGATCTAATAAAGAAACCTCCTTTACAGCGAAAAAGAATCCATCACTGTGGAAACAGAGAATCACGAGAAAAACGAGAGAGAGAATGTAAGGGTGTGTTTATTTCGCAAAAAATGAATAATTTGAAAAATGTTTTCTTATAAATGATTGCTTCTATCGCCTACAAAAATAAATCGCCTATAAAAATATTTAAACATAAATTGTTATCGATAATGAAAATATATTTTATTGACTGATTAATTCAAGAGATCGAAGCGATTATTTTTAATAAAATATTTTCCAAATAATTCATTTTCCGTGAAACAAAGGGAGCCTATATACGAATTCTTTGGCTAAGGATGCCTTGATAAGACATAGTTAGGATAATTCTTGCACTACAGATGATACAAAGAAAAAAAGGATTAAAAAAGAGTCGTTTTCATCAATATCACAAAAATAGTTCCCTAGCTCTCGGCATCTGAATTTACAATTAACTAACAGTCTCTAAAGCATGTTCTCAGTAACCGCTGATCTATCACAACATCCATTCTTCAAAAAAACAGAACAAATTGCACGCTGTACAAGCTGGTAAAGTTACAGAAAAACAATGGAAAACAACAAAATTTACGTGATTTTTAATATTCTAGATCTTTACTTCTTCGGTCTGTTCGATAATCATGAATGGTCTTCAATTAGTACTACACCAATCATGCTAGAACTCCAATTACAAATATGAAGATCAAGCACTTTAAGCAATTGGAAAAACGTTTGTCGTGTCTGTTTAAATGAGCCTTATATCAACCAAAAGACAACATGCTCTACTGCATACACATGATTAGCCTGAAGGTTCCTAATTCTAACCACAGCATGTGGCACTCAAAAGTGCAGTCGAAACTTCAAACCAACGTCACTATAGGAGAACTCCGATGTTACTTCGTCTGCGAAAATGCTTATCGCAAGAATGACGTACTGATGGTCAAAGAGAAAAGCAAAGGAATCTCACTCGGCGATTGCTTCATAGACAGCTCCCGACGACCCACTTCCCAACAGATCGCCCTTTTTCCATGAGGTGATCCTTCGTCTGAAACTCCCATGGGGAGAAACAATGTGGTCTGGTTCTGAAGCGTTCCCCACATCATTCTGATCACCAGACCCCTCATCTTCAGCAGAAGTTGACAAAGAAGAGTTCGGATCATGACGAACAGGAGGATCCTCGTCTCCTCCGAGACCTTCCTGAGGCCCGGATGAGTTCAACAAATCTGGCGCGGGGTTGTCCACAACAGGCTGCACCTTAACTGGCGGCAGGGAAAGAAGTGGAAGCCTCGATTCCCTGATTCCTCCCCTATCCTTCTTCATTCCCCAGTTTTTAGCAAAAACCAGAAATCCAAGCCAACTTCTACGAGGGCGAAGATCAATGCGCTTGGAGGAGGAGGAGTCGCCATCCACGAACTTGGAGCTTCCGTTTCCCATTTTGCGCGAGTCTCCGCCGTGCCCTTCGCGAACCAAAAAGGGTCAAAGAGAGGAAAAAGAAAGGGACCTGCAAAGGCTTGCAAAGCTTCGAGATGATCTTTTTCTTCTGCAGGACTGGGATAATATAGCACAAAACAACTGGAAGCAGAGTCTTACTGTGGCAAGCAAGGTCGAAGACGATGTCAAGCTGGGCGAGATTGACTTCTTCTAGTCTTGTCCATTGGCCAATGTCCCTTTCACTCATTTGAAAATGAATTTCTTGATCCGGGTACACACTGCGAGTGTCATGCGAGATAGAGAAAGGAGAGAGAGAGAGAGAGAGAGAGAAGTGTCATAAGGGTCAGATTCAGACTGATTTTGAGCCTTTTTCTTCTTGCCGCCCACCATGAATCGCAGCAGCATTTCGAGTGCACTACCAAACAATTTTTAAGTAGGAAAAACTATGCTGACACCCTTGCATTTTGGCCGCATTTTGGCCGATAAGATTACACAGAGACCAGAGAAAGCGGAATATTCCTCCATCCTGTTCTTTCCTATCCGAATGTCTCGCGCAACGAGTTAAAAAAACTTTCCAGCTGCAAGGACTTGTCTGCAATCAAAACAACAAAAAGGTGAAATCTAAAAATCAAAGAATTCCGACACTTATCAAGGTGGCTAAGAAAAGTCAGTACGCGACATGAACAAATATTCAATAACCACCCTGTCTTCCCGATGCACAAAAGCATGGGTCCCTTTGTTTTGGGAGACAAACACTCTTCCAAGAGACTCCCCACCCACTAAAGAAGACGAGGCCATTCGATTAAGTCGCTTTCTGAAGTAGTCTGGGGCTTCCATCCGGTGTCCAATGAAAGCTCCTAGGGCACGAGGCAACTTTGCGAGGAGGTTTGACAACTGCAGGAAGTACAAAGCATATATGTCCACGTTGGTTTCTCAGACTGTCATTGTCGCTGTCACGCTCCCGAAACTTTCATGTCCATATTCCTAGATTCTGATATATGCTAAGGGAAACTGCAACTGTAGTTGTTTTCATGGCGCGACAATCGATTGCACATACCTCTCCCCTAGAGACAAGCAAACTAACCTAAGAGACTGGAAAACAATAGATTAGGAACATTTATGGACCGGTAAATTTGAGAGGAAGTTGTGGGTCAAAAGTTAGAACTTCCGTCTTTTTGGCACATATGATCTTTTGAAAGAATTCTTGGTCCAAGTTAAACTGATTGCTCATTATGTCTCAGGGCTTGATGTGTTTGGTCAATTCTGATGGGGAGTATGAAATCAATGCCGGGAAGCATATTTCTCTTCCGAGAAGATGGAAAGAAGTTTTTTGCATAGACATATAGGAGGTCGACATGCGTACATGACTAAAGTCGACGAAACGATTCAATAGATCGATTAATTAGACAAGTGTTAATTTTGAAATGATTATCGATATTTTTTCGGGGTTTTGATTAGTTAGACGCATGTTAATTTCTCTTAAATGGTTCGAGAAAATACATGTGTGAAGATTGTGAACCTATATGTCGAGAAAACACATAAATTTGACTTTACAGATTTCATAAAAATGCCGCAAAGATCCTTCGTTATAAGAGAAGAAGCAATCCTAGAGTTCTCTTCCCAGGGCTTACCTGTATCTCGAATAAGTTCGAATTGTTTTACTTCCTGTGGGAATCACAGTTGCTTTCTTCGGTCTTTGCTAATGAGGTCATTGTCGTCTATCCGTCAGATTTATCTGCAAAAAATATTCCAAGATGATTCCTGGGACCATGTCAGACTCGTCCAAGATGCTGCTTAGTTTTGCATCTGAGGAAGGTAATACCTCGCATGACTGCATAAAGTATTGAAAATTGAGGGCCAATTGGACCTAACTTGAGCCATTCATACTTCTGTTCTATCTAAACCCAATATTTAATCTTTATTCCACGTCACTGCTGGTGTTCCTGTGCATATTATAAATGGGAGAATTACCAAAACAAATCCTAAACTTATTGTAATTGTGTCAACTCATCTTAAACTTTTTTTTTTGGCTAATTGAGTCCTAAATCCTCTTTGAATGCAAGTTCTACCTAAATTCAATCTTGATCAATTGCTTATCCTCTAGAAGTTGCATGCCCCTATCTAGGCTTCCTAAAGGCAGAAAACCCGTAGTCGGAGACCCCGTCTCGTCGTTGTCAACATCTTTGTTTTCTTCCTTTCTTTCCAACGTCAAATATACACTTTGAATGTTTTTTTTTTTTTGGTAAGGTAAATATACACTTTGAATGTTCATTTCTCTCTTGTAGATTAACCCTGGAAGAGTGTTTTCAATAGGGAAAATTATCAAAAAAGTTTTAAATCTATATTGTAATTGTGCCAATTGAGTCCTAAATTTTATTCTTTTTTTTGTCAATTAAATCATAAACCTTTTGCATTTATGCCAATTGAGTCCATCTGGCAAATTTTGGCTGGAAATCACTGACATGAACGTCAACTGTTCTACGTAACATGGCCGGCGAGACGTGGATATTTTTAATAATATTTTAATTTTTTTCTTTTTTCTTTCCTTTCCTTTATTTAATTTAGGACGGTTGAAGTCCGTGTCAGCGATTTCTAGCCAAAATTGGCCAGATGGACTCAATTGGTATAAATGCAAAAGGTTTATGACATAATTAACAAAAAAAAAGAAGAAAATTTAGGACTCAATTGGCACAATTACAATAGGTTTAAGATTTTTTTGATAATTTTCCCTATTGAAAACACTCTTCCATTGTTAATCTACAAGAGAGAAATGACCATTCAAAGTGTCTTGGAGATCATGAAGAACAAGAAGCGCAAATCTCGGGGAAAGCCGAAAGCGAGCGAAGAGATGACGGCCACCAAGGATCTCCATGGAAATCATGCAACTGATCTCCATCATACGTATTTACTTAAATCCATTGCCTTCTTATTTAATTTCATCAAACTTTGCAATATTCAACAGTGAATCGACATGATCGCAAGGCAGGGGCGACGGCGAGGTGCTGGCGGGTGTCGATGCGAGTGCGAGATAGAGAAAGGTTAACAGAGAGAGAGAGAGAGAGAGAAGTGTAATAAGCGTCAGATTGCGACTGAGTTGAGCCTTTTTCGACTTGCTAAGTGTAACATTTTCTTCATATTGGCGTTTGTGAAATAAACTACAGAAAAACGCAAAACCAAAACAAAAATTTGTAAAAATCAGTATTCGCTCCAGGGTCGACGGGCCTGATTGTTGTCGGTACAAAACTTTTCCCATACGATACAAAGCGCTCATCTTGAAGCGACATGTCGTTTATAGAAACACTTGAATTTACCTAAACACGGGCAAATGAGCAAAAACGATGCAACTGCACGTTCCATTGCGGATCCCAAGGATATCCAATCTTGATCGACTGCTTATCCTCTAGAAGTTGCATGCCCCTATCTAGGCTTCCTAGAGGCAGAAACCCGTGGTAATCGGAGACGCCGTCTCGTCGTCGTCAACATCTTTGTTTTCTTTCTTTCTTCGCAACGTCAAATATAGTAGGGGTGAGCAGTTTCCGATCCGGTCCGGTCCAATCCAAGAACCGAGAACCGGACCAGGAGGACCGATTCCCAGTTTCTAGGACCGGGGATCGAACCGGCTAGTCTTGAGACCGTGGACCGGTTTCAATGGGACCAATCACTTATTGGTAAATGCAATAGGGAATTAGGGAAATTAGATTAGGCTTTCTGTTTTTTTCAAAATTTTTAAAAAGTAAATAAATATATATATGAAAAAATTAGAAAAATATATATATTTATCAATCCGTTCGGTCAGTCCGATCCGGTTCCCACCCCAGAACCAGAAACCGGACCGCCCGGAAGCCGGTTCCACTATTAGGAACTGGGAACCGGACCGATATTCCCGAGAACCGGACCAAACCGGTCGGTCCGGTCCGATCCTGATTTGGGCGGTCCATCTTGCTCACCCCTAAATTATACACCGTGACATGCTATTTACGATTCACAGATAAACAAGGCGCGCTCATCTCGAGCAGAAGAAAGACACCAGAAGATCAGTTGCAGCCCAAGACTACCGGTCGCAAGGACAGTCGATCTTTGAGAAGCTCCAATTTAATAGAGATGGCGCTCACTGCCAAAGAGACGTTATCTGGCAAAAACAAGGTATTACATTATAAGCTTGGGGAGTTCAAAGAATTGCAGCAGCATTTCACGTGCACTACCAACAATTTAAGTAAGAAAAGCTATGATGGCACCCTTAGCATTTTGGCTTATAAGATTTACACAAACACCAGAGAAAGCTGAACATTGCTCCGTTCTGTTCTTTCCTATCCGAATGTCTAGCGTAACGAGTTAAAACTTTTTAGCTGCAAGGACTTGGTTTGCAATCAAGACAACAAAAGGAGGAATCTAAAATTCAAACAATTTTGACACTATCAAGGCGGCTAAGAAAGGTCAATAGGCGACGTGAAAAATATCCAATAACCAAAAGAAGATGAGGCCATTCGATTAAGTTGGTCCCTGAAGTAGTCCGGAACCTCCGTCCAGTGTCCAATAAAAGCTCTTAGCATACGAGGCGCGCGACTGTGCGAGGAAGTTCAACAATTGCAGGAAGTACGAAGCCTGTTATCCACTTTCGTTTCTCAAAGTGTACAACCATCGCACTACCGAAACGTTCATGTTGATATTCCTATATCCTAATATATGCTAAGGGAAACTGCAACTATGGTTGTTTTCATGGCGTGACGATTAATTGCACGCACCTCTCCCCTATGGAAATGCCAATTAACCTATCGCGTACCAATTAACCACTGTGAAAAGTTTCAGCACGATCTGGTGGAATAATTAAAACTTACGGAGAAAACTGTAGGACATGACAAGTTTGTTAGGGAATTGGGAAACGGACCATAGACACTATACATACATGGACTGTCCGCTCCAATTTAAAAGTTTGGAGTAGACTGTTAATGTTATGAAATTTTGCAGTAAACAGTAGAAATGTGGAAAGTTGACGAAGATATCTTGCCATTAGCCCAAAAGAAGACCTTCAGAGCAATGAACCGGAGAGGGATCGCATGGCAAGACCTTATGACAATTTGCTTTCGTAACAAGGTCAAGCAAAACCAGAAGTAGATGGCTTCGTCACAAAGGGATGGTCTAGCAACTGCGCTGCAGAAGGCCGATCATTGGGGTTTACTTGCAAGCATCTGCAGATGAAGTCTTGAGCGTCTCTTGATAAAGATTTGGGAACTTGAGGAGGTTCACCCCTGCGAATTTTCCACAATGCTTGCATCTGCCACAATAAGAAAGAAAACGTAGCTGAGGCTAGTGTGTTAATCATAATTCCAGGGGGCAACTAACATATAGAAACTGGATAAATCAATAAGATCTGTAGACAAATCTAAGCGCATCATGCTTCAGGCAATCATCTGCCATGATTGTTCTGGAGTTACAATTACTGCAGAAGTGGGAGACGTGGATGATATGTAGCCGTTCACAGGGACCAATGCGTGAATGCTTACCAACTACGGCCAATAAAACATAAGTATCTATTGCTTCTTGCTCAAAATATTTAAAGTGTCCTGAATTTAAGAAAAAAGTAAAAAAGGGGCGTTAGTTGCATGTTTTACAATGGCTTTGAGTAGGATGGTATTACATTTTCTCCTTTACAATAAAAAGAAATTCAATGATAAGCACAAAGCAGCGCAACCTTCACAATTCACTCACAAGACCAGAGCACTCCAAACTTCAGCAGCAGACATTGTATCAACAAAAGAGCATTTCTGTGCTGTTGTGCCCTAAAAAGGGATAACGTCAGTAGGTAATTTACTGGCTAGAGCCAGTAATTACCATCCCTGTTTGAAAACTTACTATGTGTATGGAGAAGTCGCCAACTTGACATACAACATGAAAATTGTCATAATATTCGAAAGTTACCAACCAAATTGAAAAGTACCAAACTTCCAAACTGAAAAGTTACCAACCAAAGTAACTAACCCTAGCAGAGAAGACAACCATCCAGGTCAATGATTGATTCAGAGAAGAGCAGCGGAGAATCAACACTCGAAGGCAATGAGGGAATCACCAAGGTTGATAATGGGGAGTGACAGATCAGAGGACAATCACACAATGAAAGGACTTAGAAGGGAACACGAAGCAATCATTGTCAGTGCTGCTCTCAGAACTGGAGCAGAGATGGCGATAACAATATTAGGATTTGAATCTCTCTCGGTTGCTCAAGTACCATGTCACAGTGAAGGAGAGGATGGAGAGATTCTTGAGACTGAATGGTAGGGTTATACGTGTACCCAATATCTATAGGTGGGTTACTATTTACATACATACAATATGCGATAATCTAAACGCATGCCACCGCACACTCAATGTACACTTGTAGTAGTAATTAAAAGTATTAGACAACAATGCCAAATTACTTAAAAGAGAAAGTCAAGATTCTAGTATTCAACCGGGTCTTCATACCATATTAGCCAACCATTTGGTCCAGAATCCCAACTAACTATCGGCCATAAATACCATGCACATCCTTTAACATGACCATACTCTTGATATCTGTCATTGAATTCTCTGTCCTCTCTTTCTATGTAGTGCTCTTACTCATTTTGTTTTCTCAGAATGACGGCCTAACAGACTCATCACAACATGCGCTCAACTTATTTAGTAACTCCGGCATAACACGGATCTCGAGGATACAAAATATAAAAAGAAGGTTACATAATTACATACCATATTTAAGTTAGAATATGGACGCTTGCGTGTTGACATCTCTAAAACAGTGCAACCAAGGCTCCAAATATCAGCCTCCACCCCATAGCTTCTGTTCTTTACATTGTTGACGACCTGCAGTTACAACCAATGAGGATGAAAAAGAAATGGAAAAGATATGCGCCTTCTACAGCCAATGATAGTATGTTAAGAAAATGGCAGCGTAGGGTGCAAACCTCAGGTGCCATCCAGAAAAGAGTTCCTTTGAAGGATTTAGCGTCATTCATGTTGGTGGCCTGTGAATAAACACAGAAAGTTGATACGTTATCTTGGAAAAGTAGAGGACACCACATGCTTCACTTTGTGCATGTCTATACGTGTGTTTGTCATGCGAGCACGGGTTATGTATTTGTACATGCATCTTCGTTGCTCGCATGCGCTCTGTGCATGCGTATGTATCTGAGCATGTGCCTTTGCTGCTCGTGCGTGCGCACAGAGAGAGAGATAGAGAGAGAGAGAGAGAGAGAGTTTTCTTTTGCAGATGGGACATACCTTTGCCAATCCAAAGTCTGAAAGTTTCACAGATCCACTTGCATCAACCAATATGTTAGCACATTTAATATCCCTACAGAATGACCGAACTACAAGCATGAGAAACCAGCACAGATGCAAGTAGGATACATAAAAGGTTAAAGTTTTCATCCCTCTTCCACATTCAAGCATTCACATAGTAAAATAGTCTTGTCTATGCTAAATATTGCTGAACAAGCTCGTAATGTTGCTTCGTTGTTTACTGATTATCACAAAAAGTCTACTTCTCATAACACTACATTTTGGTTTAAAAGATTTGACAACTCCCTTAAATCCATAAAAAGTATTTGGATAGGTAAAAGAATGTATCATCAAAAGGCACCATGGTGGTGTGCCATGAAACAAAATATATAAATTTCAATGTGCTCTTTCCTTAACAAAATCAACCTTCCATCAGAAACGAGAAGTGAATCACTAGTTCAATTAGTGAAAACTACTAATGCAAAGTCAAGCATCTTTCTTCTACCTGTGTATCACATTCTGGTCATGAAGATACTTTAAACCATTTAGAATTTGCCTGGTGTATGCGGAGACTTGGGATTCTGTCAAGCCATATTTGTCATAAAAAGTTGAAAGTGAACCTTTGGGCATGAGCTCAAGGAATATGTAAAGCTTCTCATTATCCTGGAAGAGAGTGAAAATCATACATGTTAAAATTTCCAACTCAAAAGTTTAAGCTATCAGGTGGAACAAGACAAAGTATATGAGGCACATTGAAACTACATAAACAAGCAATGTGGAAAACCATAGCACCCCTCTCATGTGCAAACGGATTGAGAACGGCACATGGAATTGCTGAAACGGGAGTCATGTACGGAAATAAATTGTGGCAGAACCAGGTCCCGAAATTATGTCAAAACCCAAAAGATTATGCTATTAGGTGGAAGGGGGCTACTTGTATATAAGGCCCATAGAAATCCCATAAACAAACTATATGGGATATTTTAACAAGAGATATTAGAGACAACCATACCAGATAGCAAATAAAATGAAGCAAACATCAGTGACATTTACGTTTTTCTCATCCTAATGATGCTGGATGCCCATGCCTCTTTTAACGCATACTTATCATTGGATCAAGACAACACCCTTCCCACTGCAATCAAGTGTACGAAGACAAGAGGCTCCTAGACAAGGCCTTGAGGAAATTACTACTACAGGGACTAAAAATCATTGTTAAGTTGGCTATGCTTCCTGAATTGCGCTTTGGTACTGAGGACCTCCTCAATAAACGATCAGTGTCTAGTGAGAATCTGCTTGATGGGGGGTTAATTTAGTAAAAGTTTATATCAGATGACAATTTAAAAGTAATTTTGTGAAATTTAAATAGCAAAATAAGGCAAGAATGCATGGGACCGAGCTCTTCTTTTGTTGGTTTCCTTGTACAGCACAAATATCCAAGTTATAACCGTTCGCCAATGTTTCAAGTTGCATCAGTGCCAATAAAAAAAGTTGCATAGTGCACCTGGTGGAAGAAGGAGGGGTCCTATTTCGCTAATTCCTCATTGCCACAAAACAATGCGGTGGATTGCAGCTGTAGTAAACCAAATTTGGTTTAAAACCAACAATCTTTTGCACGTTTCATCTCCCAAAAGAAGTTATGTCATGGCACTTTCTTAGAATCTGATGCTTCTTGCCAAACTATGTTTAGAAGAAAAAAACAGGTACTTGAACATTTAAGCCACTAAGTTAGGAACTACTTCCCTCACTTGAACAATGATCAATTCCATTTTCAGTTTTCTCTAATTGTAGAGGTAAGAACTATATGATGTTGCATAAAAATGATTAGAATAAAAGACATGCTGGACTAGAATAGATGGAAAAAATCAGCTTGTGGAGGAACTCCATTGTTGTTATCAACTTGTGGAGGAACTCCATTGTTGTTGCTACAGCCACGACCAGTTATAGATGAGGGAGAAAAGGTCGGGGCATTAGTCATGCAGACCACCAGATGGTCAATCAAAGGACACCGGAAGAATTAAATGACTCCACTTTCTTATTTTTTGATTCCTTATCTTCAGTTTGCAAGATATTGTAAATCATTCACTACCAGAAACAAAGCGCTCATTGATTACAAGACAGGCACTCTTTAGAAGGGAGAAAAAGATTTACTTTCGTCGCTAGAGAGAGAGAGAGAGAGACTCCACAAAGTAATGTCTACTCTACATATTTTCTTTACTCATATAATTACTAGGTAATAGTCAATTCATCACAAACTTTTCTTGTGGTGGAGAAGACCTAAATGTCTGTCTCTGTCATGAGTGGCCTTTGCTGCCAAGAAGCAGCACCTGCTGTGATCTTATTCACACGATAAGTGCAGCTAATACTTGCAGTGATGATGATGCCACCACTATATTGTGGCTGCTATCACAGCCACGTTCCCCTAAATATTTTGCTCAGTTCCGGTGATATCATAATTGATGCCAAAGTGAAAGATACTGCAGAAAGCAACTTAGTAAGAAGGAACTCACCTTGTCTGTGCCGAGATATTGAACTATGTTCTCATGTTCAAACTGACTATAAAGCTCAATTTCCTGAAAAGAAAGCAGAGTATCACTAGAAAGAAAGAGTCAAAAGAAAATCTATTGAACACGCACCAAATATATGGTTTGTGTATACGGCAGTCTTATAAATAATTTTGATCTATGCATCAGCTTGGCAATTATAAAAAAGAGATGAATCAAGTAGTCATGCCTAAGGACCAGTTCACAAGACACAGGAAGAAAGAAGCAATTACCTGTCGAAGCTGCGATAAGCTCTGCTTGCCTTGGCTTCCTTGATCTAACAAAGAAACCTCCTTTACAGCGAAAAAGAAACCATCACTGTGGACATAGAGAAGCATGAGACAGACAGAGAGAAAGAAAAAGAATATAAATGCCAATTCTTTCGCGAGCGATGCCTTGACCAGACATAGTTAAGATAATTCGTGCACTCCAGATCATATAAAAGAAAACAAAAAGAGAGTGATTCTCATCAATATCACCAAGACAGTTCCCTATCTTTCAGCATTTGAATTTACAATCAATCAACAGTTTCTAAAGCATGTTTCCCGCACACACTGATATAGCACACTACCGATTCTTTAAAAAAAGAAGAAAAACTAGTAAAGTTACAGAAAAACGATGGAGAACAACTAAATTTACGTGATTTTTGAAGTACAAGATCTTTACTTCATCAATCTGTTTGCTAATAAAGAATGGTCTTCAAACGAAACATCATGATGGGAGAACACCGACTTGTACTTCGCCCCCAGAGAATTGCTTATACCAAGAATAACTAAATGATTATCAAAGAGAAAGCAAATGAATCTTTACTCAGTGAAGCCTTCAAAGACAGCTCCGAATGACCCAGTTCCCAACAGCCCGCACTTTTTCCATGGGGTGCTTTTTCGTTTGAAACTCCCCTCGGGAGAAACACAGTGCCATGGCTCTAAATTGTTGGCAGAACGGGTGATCAACACATAATCCTCAGAATCCTCAACAGCAGTAAACCAACCAAAGTCGGAATCATCTGCTACTTGCGAAATCCATCCCCTACGAACCTTCTCATCACCTCCATTCCAAGGGCCGCTGAAGGAGAGGGCGACCGAACGAAAGAGAAGTGACCATCGACTCGGACGAACAGTGGCAGCAGCACTTGCCGATGAAAAGTCGGAACCATTTTTTCTTTGGGGAATCCATCCTTTACTAGCCCTCCCATCATCTCCATCCGACCCATCATCCTCTTTATTCAAAGGGCCGCTGCGGGAGATGTTGATGAGCCGACGGCCCCCGGGCGGGGAAGGAGGAGGAGGAGAAGTGGCCATCGACTCGGAGCTTCCCTCCGGCGGTTGCGCGAGCCTCTGCCGTGCGCTTGCTTCGCCGACCGAAAAAGGGTCACAGAGAGTGGAGAAAAGGGGGACTTGCAAAGGACTCTCCGACACCCTTTCGTGATCCCTCTCTTTTGCAGGGATCAAAATGGATACTTTACTCTGTTTCTCTCTCTTCCTGAAGGTAGAGAACGGTGGCGCGCTGTGAATGGTTTGTTGACTTTTCCAGTTTAAACTGTGGGATAATTATTTCCACTGCAAGTCCAGTGAATCTTTCCACTCTGGGTCGTTGTCATGTTTTTGTTCTTACTAGTCCGGTCCGATGTAGCCGCGCCCCCACCTCGTATGAACAGAACAGGGTGCCCCCCAGTGCCCGGAACTCCGCGCGGCTTCGCCGGGCATCGGGGGAGCACAGCTGGGAGACGGCGCGAGGCGGCCGGGACGCGTCCCGGGTTGCTCGAACCCAAGACGGGCACGTTGGAGTTGCTGTCGACAAGCATTGTCCGTAGCGCGTAATCATTGAATTCTGGTCCGCTTCAACATATATGGCCAGACATCATTTGTGGCAGAGTGAGCATGTACGGTTTCATGCGGCAGCATGATTTGTTTTTCGCGACTTAGTTGTTTTAGCAGACGTCTAAAACGAAGCAGCAGGGAAGCCATCAAAAGAAAGAGGAGAAGAAGAAGAAGATCCAGAAGCGCGCTTTCAAGCTCTTTTCGCCGATCAATACGGTGTCGAAGCACAAAGAGTACATGGAATGCAAGATCTCAGGGATGAAGGCCCGTCTCTCGGAGACTGCGAATGCTATCTCGGCGGACCACGGAGCCTCCGTGCCCGCGCAAACGAGCTCCATGATTTGAAGCATGCGGAATCGTCGAGAACAGGGAGTTAGGCAATGCCGTCGTAAATCCTGGCTTCCTCGGTCTTTCTGGTTTTCTGCTCAAGCTACTGGCCGTCTTACTGCTTGCTTCTCACCCGACTGGTCTCTCTCTGCGATTTGGGTACGCAATTCCCTCCAGTTATGTTACATGCGATTTTGTACTTGAAACAAGCAGCGTGTCTTCTAGCCTAGCTTGTTTGGTCGATGTCTTCTTGCGCTCAATTTGGAAATGAATCTGTCAATCCAGTCAGATTCTGCAGGGTTGATTTACTGCAATGTTTGAGGTGTTACGGTGGTGAGATGCCGGAGGCAACGATTTTAAGGTTCGAGCGAGTTGAAGCAATCACGAGGGCTGGGCGGGGGCGACGGCGAGGCAGTAGGGTGATGCGAGTGAGAGACACAAATGTAACTAGGATCAGGTTATGATTAAGTTGAGCCTTGTTAATTTTGTGAAGTGTGGCTTTTTCTTCATATTGATGTTTGTGAAATAAAGGAGAACAAAAAATGCCAAAAAAAAAAAAATGGAAGGATTTGGGAAACTAAAAAAATTATCAGAAAAGTCATAAACCTATTGCATTATTATCAATTTAGTCATAAACCTTTTAACAGTATTAATTCAGTCATTGCAACTAATTTTGACCGAATATTACTGATGAGGATACTGAGCTACTTACGTGACACCGCCAGTGCTAACGTATACAATTTTTAATAATATTTTAATATTTTTCGTTTTTTTTCTTTTTTCTTTCTTCTTCCTTCTATTGATGACCGATCACCGGCCATGGTTGAGCGAGCTGGCCTTGCCTGGGCGAGGGTCACCGTCGGCCAATCGAGACCTAGCCAAACCCACCCAGCCTTGGCTGGTCACCAACAAAAGGAAGAAAAAAGAAAAAAAGAAAAAAATCAGAAAAATAATTATAAAATATCAAATTATTAAAAATTATCCACGTCATCAATATACAACCAAAATTAGTCGAAATGACTAAATTGGCATTATATCAAAAAGTTTAAGACTAAATTTACATAAAAAAAATTAAAACTAAATTAGCACCGATACAATTAATTTAGAACTTTTCCAACATTTTTCCTCTTGGAAGTCAGTATGAGATCCGGCAACGATGAGCCTGATTGTTGTCAATACAAAACTTTCATGACATGATGGAAGCGCATATCTTGAAGCGACGTGTCAGTTAATAAAACTCCAAATTCACCGAACACGGCCCGATATCAAACAAGCAACGACAAAGCAAATCCGCATCCCGTCGGCGGATCCCGAGGGATATCCAATCTTGATTGATCCTGTAGAAGTCGCGCGCACCTATCTACGCTTCCCAGAGGCAGAAAACCTGTGCCATCGTCAACATCTTTGTTTTCTTCCTTCCTTTCTAACGGAAAATATACACCAGGGCATGCTATTTACAATTCCCAGATGAGCGACACATGCTTAGCTTGAGCAGAATAAAGACAACAGAAAACCAGTTGCAGCCCAAGACCGCTCGCGAGGACAAAGAGAAGTCACCTGGCAGAAAAAAGTATCACATTATAAGCTTGGCAACGCCTTGGGAGTGTTTGCAAGTAATCAATATGCCGCCAACCATTGAGTGGTTCAAAAAATTGCAGCAGCATTACCAGTGCACTACCAACAATTTAAGTAGGAAAAACTATGATGACACCCCCAGCATTTTGGCTTATAAGATTTATACAAACACCAGAGAAAGCTGAATATTGCTCCATGCTGTTTTTTCCTACCCGAATGTCTAGCGTAACGAGTTAAATCTTTTTAGCTGGAAGGACTTTGGTTTGCAATCAAAACAACAAAAGGAGGAATCTAAAAATCAAAGAATTTTGACAATATCAAGGTGGCGAAGAAAAGTAAGAGGCAACATGAAAAATATCTAATAACCGTCATCTCCATCCCGATGCTTTAAAACATTGGGACCAGTTGTTTTGGGAGACAACACTCTTCCAAAAGACACCCACCCACTAAAGAAGACGAGGCAATGTGATTAATTTGGTCCCTGAAGTAGTTCGGGGCTTACGCCCAGTGTCCAATGAAAGCTCTTAGGGCATGAGGCAACTTTGCGAGGAGGTTCAACAATTGCAGGAAGTACAAAGTATATTTATCAACTTTCATTTCTCAAATTGGTGTGGTCACTGTCATGCTAGCAAAACTTTCATGTTGATATTCCTATATTCTAATTTATGCTAGAGGAAACGGCAATTATGGTTGTTTTCATTGCGTGACAATCGATTGCAGATACCTCTCCCATTGCAAAAGACAAACTAACCTATAGCGTACCAATTAACTACTATGGTAACTCACTCAATTAAAAAGTTTCAGGACGATCTGGTGGAAATTTTAGAGAAGACTGTAAAAATGTGAAAAGAGTGCTAGGGATTTGAGAAACTGAGCATAGACCCCATAAATACGTGCACTATTTGCTCCAATTTAAAAGTTTAGTGTAGACTGTTAAAAGTTACATATGCTTGGAGTAAACAGTAGAAATGTGGTAAGTTGATGAAGGTATCTTGCCATTAGCCCAAAAAAAAAAAATACCCCAACTAGCAATCTAACAACAAAACTACAAGCAAAAAGCGTAAAATTACCTTCACAACAATGAACCAAAAAGGGATGGCCTAGCAAAACCTTACGACCATACGTTGTTGAAACGAGGTGAAGCAAAACCAGAAGAAGTAGGTGGCTTCCTCACAAAGGGATGGTCTAGCAACTGCGCTGCAGAAGGCCGATCATTCGGGTTTACTTGCAAGCATCTAAGAATTAAGTCTCGAGCCTCTCTTGATAAAGAATCAGGAACTGGAGGAGGTTCGCCCCTGCCAATTCTGAACAATGCTTGCATCTACCACAATAAGAAAGAAAACGCGGTAGAGGCTCGTGTCAATCATAAATCCAGGGATAACTAACATATGACAGCTGGATAGACCAATAAGATCTGTAGACAAATCTAAGCGCGTCATGCTTCAGGCAATCATCTGCCATGTTAACAGTTCACAGGGACCAACTGCGTATATGTTTTCCAACTACTCCTAATTAAACATAAGTATTTATTTATTTTTGCTCAAAATTTTTAAGAGTCCTAACCTTAACAAAAAAGTAAAAAGAAAGGGGGCATTAGTTTTATGTTTTACGATAGCTTTGAGAAGGATGGCACTATTTTTTCTCCTTTATAATAAAGAAAATCCAAAGATAAGCACAAAAGCAGAGCAACCTTCAAAATTACTCAGAAACTTACTACGCGTATGGAGAAGTTGCCAACTTGACATAAGACGTGAAAATTCTCATAATATTCAAAAGTTACCAACCAAATTGAAAAGTTACTAACTTCCATATCCAAAGCAACTAATACTAGTAGAGAAGACAGCCATTTAGGTCAATGATCAGAGAAGAGCAGCGAAGGATCAACACTCGAAGGCAAAGAGGGAAATGCCACGGTTGATGAAGGCGAGTGACAAATCAGAGGATAACCACACAACGAAATGACGCAGCAAGGAACAAGAAGCAGTCAATATCAGTGCTGCTCTCAGGGCTGGAGCAGAGATGGCTCTCTTAGTTGCTCAAGTACCATGTTACAGTGAAAGAGAAGATGGAGAGATTGTTCAGACTGAATGTTACGGTCGTATGTGTACCCCTCATCATTTGGTGGGATACTGTTTACATACGTACAATATGCGATTATCTAAGCGTATGCCACCGTATGCCATAAGCTTATACTAGTAATTCAAAGTATTCGACAACAAGGCCAAATTACTTGAAAGAGAAAGTCAAGATTCAACTATTTAACCGAGTTTTCGAAACATGTTAGATAACCATTTGCTCCAGAATCCCAAGCAACTATTTTCCATAAATACTATGCATATCCTCCGACACAACCAAACTCTTGATAGATATCATTGAATTCTCTGTCCACTCTTTTCTAAGTATGCTCTTACTCATTTCGTTTTCTTAAAATGATGGCCTAATGGACTCATCATAACATGCGCTCAACTAAGCTAGTTCACACAAAAAGTAGCAATACCAAAAGGTTGCGACTAGTTAGTTATTCTGGCAAAACATGGATCTCATGCATATAAAACATATAAAGAAGGTTACTTAGTAACATACTCCTTCTAAATGAGAATATGGAGGCCGGCGGGTTAACATCTCTAAAACAGTGCACCCTAGGCTCCATATATCAGCTGCCAACCCATAAGTTCTGTTCCTTAGATTGACGACCTGCAGTTACAACCAACAAGGATGACAAAAAAAATGGAAAATATATGCGCCAAATGCAGCTAATGATAGTATGTTGGCAGCAGAGGGCAGAGGGTGCAAACCTCAGGTGCCATCCAAAAAGCAGTTCCTTTGGAGGATTTAGCATCATTCATTTTGGTGGCCTGCATGAATAAACACGGACAGTTGATATGTCATTTCAGAAAAAGTAAAGGCAACACCAGTCACTTTGTGCATGTCTACATGTGTGTTTGTCAGGTGCGCACGCATATGTATTCATAAATGCATCTTTGTTGCTCGTGCGCACTGTGCATGCGTGTGTCTTTGAGCATGTGCCTTTGTTGCAGAGAGAGAGAGAGAGAGAGAATTCACTTTCACGGGTGAGACATACCTTTGCCAATCCAAAGTCTGCAACTTTCACAGATCCACTCACATCAACCAGTATGTTAGCACATTTGATATCCCTACAGAATGAAGGAACTGGAAGCATGAGAAACCAGCATAGCTGTGCGTAGGATTAATAAAAGGTTAAAATTTTCATAATTATCCTCACATTTAACAATATTGCAAAATTACATTTCCGCCCTCAAGCATTCACATGGTAAAATAATCTTTTGTACGCTAGATAATGCTGTACAAGCTCATAGTGTTACTTTGTTGTTTGCTGATTATCACAACTAATCTACTTCTCAAAACACCACATTTTGGTTCAAAGATTTGACAAATCCCTTAAGTCCAGAAAAGTATTTGGATAAGTAAAATAAGTATAATTAAAAGGCACCAAGGGGGTTTGCCATGACACAATATATACTAGTTTCCCTGTGTTCTTTGTTTGGTTATGATCTCTGTCCTTATTAAAATCAACCCTCCATCAGAAATGAAAAGTGTCAATCACCAATTCAATTAGTCAAAACTACATGCAAAGTCAAGCATCTCTCTTGTAATACCTGTGGACCACATTCTGGTCATGAAGATACTTCAAACCATTTAGAATTTGCCTAGTGTATGCAGAGACTTGGGAATCTCTCAAGTTATATTTGTGATAAAGGTTTGCAAGTGAACCTTTGGTCATGAGCTCAAGGAATATGTAAAGCTTCTGATCATCCTGGAAGAGAAAAATCGAACCCAAAAATTTCAAATTATTAGGTGGAGGAAGATAAAAATGTATATAAGGCACATTGAAAACACATAGGGAATACTTTAAAGCCTCCTATCATGTGCAAACCAAACTGAGAACGGCACATAGAATTGATTAAAAGAGAGCCATGCATGGAAAGAAATTAAGGGATGGCTCTGAAACAATGTTAGAACCCAAAAGATTAAGCTATGAGGTGGAAAGAGGCTACATGTATATAAGGCCCATCTTAACCTTATAAACAAATGACATGAGATATTTTAACAAGATACATCAGAGACAATATACCAAATAGCAAATAAAATAAAACATACTACATCAGTGATGTTTACGTTTTTTTCATTTTAATTGTGCTGGATGTCTAGGCCTCTTATAACATTAAACTAATCATCAGATCATGACAACACCCCACCCACAGCAATTGGGTGTACCAAGGCAAGAGGCCCCTGGACAAGGCCCTGAGGTTGGTTACGCTTCCTCAAGTGCACTTTGTATTGAGGACCTACTCGACAACCGATCAGTGTTCAGTGACAATCTGTTTGATGGGGTTTAATTTAGTTAAAGTTTACATCAGATGACAATTTTAAAGCAATTTTGTGAACTTAAAAAGGAAAAATAAGGCAAGAACACATGGGACTGAGCTCTTCTTTTGCTGTCTTCCTCATACAACACAAACATCCAAGTTATAAGCGTATATCACGGTTTTAATTTGCAGCAGTGCCAACGAAAACAGTTGCACAGTGCACCTGGCAGAAGAATAACAGGTCATACTGCATTAATAACTTCATTCCCACAAAACAATGTGGTGGACTGTAGGCCTACCTAACCAAATTTTATTCGACAGCAGCAGTCTTTTGCATGCTTCATCTCCAAAAAGAAGTTATGTCGTGGCACTTTCTTAGAATCTGATGCTTCTTGCCCAATTATGTCTAGAAAAAATATAACTGGAGGTACTCAAACATTTAAGCCGCCAAGATAGGAACTACTTCCCTCAAGATGATCAATTCCACTTTTAGATCTCTGCTGTAGAGGTTAAGAACTATATGATGTTGCATAAGAATGAGTGGAACTAAACAACAAGCTGGACAAGTATTGATGGAAAAAATCGGCTTGTGGAGGAACTCCAGTGTTATTACTACAGCCACGACCAGTTATAGACAAGGGAGAAAAGGTTGGAAATTAGTCGTGTTGACCATTAGATAGTCAATTAAAGGATACATGAAGATTAAATGACTTTGCTTTCTTATCCTTTTCCCCTTTTATGTTTTATTAGTAGGGGCTGCTGTTTCTCTAAGCATCAGATTCCTTTTTATTAAATCTGAGAGTTTGACCTGAATCTTCAGTTTGCATGATAGCTAATTTGTAAATCATCCACCTCCAGAAAACAAAGGGTTGATTGATTACAAGACAGGCTCTCTTTAGAAGGGGGAAAAATTTACTTTCATTACAAGACTGAGAGAGAGAGAGAGGGAGAGAGAGAGACTTCATAAACTGACATCTACACTGCATATTTTCCTTCTATAATTACTATTAGGGGCAATAGTCAAATTCATCACGAACTTTTCTTGTGGTGGGAGGGGGACCTAAAATGTCTGTCTCTGTCATGAGTGGCTGTAACTGCTATAAAGCCGCAACTGCTGTGATCTTATTCATAGGATAATTGCAGCTAATATATGCAGTGATTATGACGCTATCACTATATTGTGGCTGCAATCATAGCGATGTTCCCCTAAATATTTTGCTCAGCGATAACATAATTGATGCCAAAGTGCAACATACTGCAGAAAGCAACCTAATAAAAAGGAACCACACCTTGTCTGTGCCGAGGTATCGCACTATGTTCTCGTGTTCAAACTGACTTAAAAGCGAAATTTCCTGAAAAGAATGCAGAGTATTACTAAAAAGAAAGAGAAAAGAATATCTATTGAACTCACACTAGATTTATGGAAACAAGCAGAACATCAGCTTGCATATACAGAAAGAAATAGTTTCGCATATACATCAGCTTGCAGTTATAAGAACGAGGTAAGTCAAGTAGTCATATCTAAGGGCCAGTTCACAAAATACAGAAAGAAACAAGCAGTTACCTGCTCAAGCTGCAGTAAGCTCTGCTTGCCTTGGTTTCCTTGATCTAATAAGGAAACCTCCTTTATAGCAAAAAAGAATCCATCACTGTGGAAACAGGGAAGCATGAGAGAGAGAGAGATAGAATATAAATACCAATTCTTATAAAGAAAAAGAAAAAACAAAGAGCTATTATCATCAATATCACTAAAATAGTTCCTTAGCTTTCAGCATTTGAATTTAGAATCATCTAACAGTTTCTAAAGCATGTTTCCCATACATGCTGATTTATCACACTATCCATTCGTCAAAAAAAAAAAAAGAATTGCACGCTATTCAAGCTAGTAAAGTTGCAGAAAAACAATGGAGAACAACTAAATATATGCGATTTCTGAAATATTAGATCTTTACTTCATCAATCTGTTCAATAATCAAGAATGGTCTTTAATAAGTACCATACTAATTGTGCTAGAACTCCAATTCCAAATATGAAGGTCCAGCACTTTTAGCAATTCAATAAACGTTTGTCATGTCTGTTTAAATTCGCCTTACATCAACCAAATGATAACATGTTCTACCGCATACGGATGACTAGCCCAAGTGTTCCTAATTCTAACCACAGAATTCAGCGCTCAGAAGTGCCGTCAAAACTTCAAATGACATCACAGTGGGAGAACAGCGGTTGCACTTTCCCCCAGAAAATGCGTATAGCAAGAACAACACGCTGATTATCAAACATAAAAGCAAAGGAATCTTACTCAGTGAAGCCTTCATAGACAGTTCCAAATGACCCACTTCCCAATAGATCGCCCTTTTGCCATGAGGTGATCCTTCGTCTGAAACTACCGTTGGGAAAAATATTGCGCACCGGTTCTAAAATATTGGCAGAAAGGGCGTTCCCCACATCATACTTATCCTCAGACTCCTCATCTTCGACGGAAGTCGACAAACAAGAGTCCGGATCACCTTTTCTTTGGGAAGTCGTTTCTTTACCAACCTTCTCATCATCTCCATCCGACCAATCCTTTTTATTCAAATGGCAAACAGGAGAATCCTTGTCTCCTCCGGGACCTTCTTGAGGACCGAATAAGTTCAACAAATCCCAAGTAGAACTCACGTTGTCCACAACAGGCCGCAACATAACCGGCGGCGGAGTAAGGACCGGAGGCCTCAATCCCCTAATTCCTCCCCCAGCATTATCCGCTTCACCGTTCTCACAATCTCCGCGAGCTTTAGCATCGAAAACACCGCCCAGAGGGCGGCGAGACTTATCCAAAGCAGATCCCCCCGCCGTTACATGCTTGAAACGAGTCCTGCAACTAGCAACCCTACCCCTATCTTCCAAACCAACCGAACCGCAACTTCTACTCCCAGTCAACACAGCAATCCCGCTCTCAAGCTCGATACCATCAACTCCAGCGGCCAACCCGTCGCCATCGCGCGGCGATTCGCCGCCGCCGTCGGGAGCCGAGAAGGCGGTCTGGAGGCGCGGGCGGGGAGTGAGCTCGCGGGCCTTGCTGGACCTCCAAGCGTCCACGGGGATAGCGAAGTCCTCGGGGGAGAGCCCCAGGTTGCGGCAGATGACGTCGAACTCGCCTTCCTCGCCCTTGACGCGGAAGCTCGCGTAGACCGAGAGGGCGTCGAGAGACAGAGCAGACGGCAAGGACGAGGAGGACGAGGAGGAGGTGGAAGTAGACGACGCGTCGTAGTCCACGTTCTTGATCGCGTTCAGGCGGTCGAGCGACCGCCTCGGCGGCCGCGCCCGCCGCTGATTGGCCTCCATCGGAGGAGGAACGGCCGGCCGATCGACCGCCGCCGCCGCCGTGCGGTGCAGGTTCGGCTAGAGAGAGAGAGAGTGTGTGTGTGTAGAGAGAGAATCTGAGCGATTCCGCCGGTCTTCGCAGGGGGGGAATCGAGGCGTTGCAGAGGGCGGAGAGGAGGAAGACGACGACCAGCCGCGGACATGGAAGAGAGAGAGAGAGCGAGAGAGAGAGAGAGATGGGTGAGGGGGGGAATGGGTAAAAGCCCACGCGCTGCCACGTGGCGGCGCCTCTGAACCGGTCAGGAAACGTCGCGCGCTACCTAGTCGAAAACTTTTCTCTCCTCCTCCTTGTTTTTACTCTCTTCTTTTTTTTTTTAAATGATAATAATTTCGCCCTTTCCTTTTCTTTTTTTTTTTTTGGGTCTTTTCGCTTTCCGGCGATGGGGCCGCGCGTCTCGAAAAGAGTCGACGCTTCTTCTTCCGAGTACGGAGAGAATATTCTTTATTTTCCATGTTCGGAATTTTTTTCGAGAAGCAAAAATGACACGAATGATCCTCGAACTTTAATTTAATGTGCAATGTGATTCCTAAATTTTTAAATTATTTAATGTGATCACTGAAATTTAACTCGAATGTAATATCTAAACTTTTGGTATAAGTTTAATTTAATCTCTAGACTATATGAAAATGTTCAATAGTCCTTCCATTAATTTAAGTTCAAGGACAATATTAAACATCTTCATATAGTTCAGGGAGTATATTTAAATTATCTAATGTGATTACTGAACTTTAACTCAATATATAATATTATCCCTGAGTTTTAAATATATTTAATGTAATTTCTAAAAATTTTTGTATAAGTTTAATTTAATCTCTAGACTATATGAAAATGTTCAATAGTCCTTCCATTAATTTAAGTTCGAGGACAATATTAAACATCTTCATATTGTTCAGGAATTAGATTGAACATGAACTAAAAGTTCGGGAACGACATTGCACATTGGAATAAAGTTCAAGGATCAAATTGAACAAATTAAAAGTTTAGGGACCACATACACATTAGACTAAAGTTTGTGAACTATTTGTGTCATTATCCCTTTCGAAAATTTATTCCAAGCCATTTTGGAGCCTGAACATCTTAAGCCCAAAGGTCCGGACCGGACTGGCTCTGATTAAAAAAAAAGAAAAGAAGGGGGAAGCCCGAAATCCCGACCTAGGCCTCTTCGAACCTAAAAGGTCGTGCCAGTCGAGGATGGGTTATCTAACGCTTAGCCTGATTTTTGCTCACTCGTAATGTTATGCGAGAGTTTTGTTGATGGAAACAACTATAGAGCATTATAAATCTATAGTGGAGATAGCACGTTTTCGCATCAACTTTGGGGTGGGTACATGTGAATAGGGGCTTTCGAAGTTATATTTTCCTTTTTGAATTGGTGCTACGATCATTAATCGATTAAATTTTCCGCTAAAAAGTGTCGCGCACGTGACTCTTAGAGAGATTAAACGTAAATTTTTTTTTATCTATTTCATACTAAATGCCATTTTTTGCAATCATTTCGTACGTGTCTACCAATTTTTATGTTGTGTTTGGTACGTTGAAAATTGAAATTGAATGGAATAAGAATTCTTTCTTCTTTATCTGGTTATCATAAAAATAAATTAGTTGGAATTGAATGGAATGGAGTTTAATTCGGTCTGGTTGTGGAGAATGGACTAAAACGAAAATTTATAAAATTATGATAATATTTTATGTGATATTGATTAATACGTGTCATTATAATTATCAGACAATCATCAATAATAAGAATTATAATACATTATTAGCTTCATGAAACGATTGATTAGTGTAATATGCATTTAAAATAAACACCTAATATCAATTATTAATATTCATAAATAATTCCATAAATTACTATAATGTGTATTTACTTTAAAAAAAAATTAATTAACCTGAATTATATTCGTCATTGATTATAAAATATTTATTTAACGGCACATAATATAATCTATAATAGTTCTACTATCGAATTATTCAAATTTAGAAATTTAGTAATTAATAATGTAAATTATAATCATTATCTTTTTAAAAGCATTATTTAACAACGAATTATAATCAATTATATAATTAATACATTTTATTATAATGTCAGTATCAATAAATGAAAGATGGAATGCTGGTGGCATGTATATGTACATTTCGTTGAACATCAATATCTATAATTATAATTCTTGCTATATTTAGCAATTAGCGGGCGGACGACGAGAATCCAAGTAGAAAGTACCGAAATTTTTTTTAATTTTCCTTCCTCTTGTTTCTCAAACGAAAAATCAAATATTTTTTTTGCCATTTTTCCACCAAATCTTTCGACCCGTTTTCCCTTTTTTATATATTCCAAAAAATTATATTAAAGCAGAAAAATAGGACTAGCCAAAAAGTAAAAAGGGCCTTTCAAAATAGTCAATGGTTGAAGAATAATAATATTGTAATGTTAGTAATTCATCGTCATGCATGATTCAGCAACAACATGTCCTAGGAAAGTCACTACGTTGACCACGTGTGCATTTGTTTATTTTTTTAATAATAATAAATTTGCCTATTTGTTCTTTTCTTTTCTTTTCCCGCGATGTGGCCGGGGCTCGAAAAGAGAGACGCTTCCGAGTTCAAGAGAATATTCTTTATTTCCCATATTCGGAATTATTTTTTCGAAAAGGAAAAATAACACGAATGGTAGTTGAATTTTGATTTAATAAACTTTTAAATCGTTCAATGTGGTCCCTAAACTTTAATTTAATGTGCAATGTCACCCATAAATTTTAAATTTGTTCGATATAGTCCTTAAACTTTTTGTACAAGTTTAATATAGTCCCTAAACTATATAAAAATGTTTCATATTATTCTTCCATTAATTTTCGTATTGTTCAGGGATTAGATTGAACATAAACCAAAACTTCAGGAAAGACATTGCACTTTAGAATAAAGTTCAAAAATCACATTGAACAAATTAAAAGTTTAGGGACCACATATACATTAGACTAAAGTTTATGGATTATTTGTATAATTATCTCTTTCGAAAATTTATTCCAAGCCATTTTCGAGCCTGAACATCTTAAGCCCAAAGGTCCGGACCGGACTGGCTCATATTAAACAAGAAGAAGAAGGGGGAAGCCCGAAATCCCAACCTAGGCCTCTTTGAACCTAAAAGGTCGTGTCGGTCGGGGCTGGATTTTCTGACGCTCGATCTGTTTTTTGCTCACTCGTAATGTTATGCGAGAGTTTGTTGACAGAAACAACCATCGAGCTTTATAAATTTATAGTGGAGATAGCACGTTTCCACGTCAACTTTGGGATGGGTACATGTGAATAGGGACTTTCGAAGTTATATTTTCCTTTTTGAATTTGCGCTACGATCATTAATCAATTAAATTTTCCGCTAAAAAGTGTCGCGCACGTGACTCTTAGAGAGATTAAACGTAAATTTTTTTATCTATTTCATACTAAATGCCATTTTTTGCCATTATTTCATACGTGTCTACCAATTTTTATGTTGTGTTCGATATGTTGAAATCGAATGGAATAAGAATTCTTTTTTCTTTATCTGGTTATCATAAAAATAAATTAGTTGGAATTGAATGGAATGGAGTTTAATTCGGTCTGGTTGTGGAGAATGGACTAAAACGAAAATTTATAAAATTATAATAATGTTTAATGCGATATTGATTGATACGTGTCATTATAATTAGCAGACAGTTAGCAATAATAAGAATTAAACACATTATTAGCTTCATGAAACAATTGATTAGTGTAATATGCATTTAAAATATCAATCTAATATCAATTATTAATATTCATAAATAATTCCATAAATTACTAGAATGTGTATTTGATTTAAAAATTTTAAATTAATCTGAGTTATATTCATCATCGATTATAAAAAAAATTATTTAATGGCACATAATATAATCTATAATAGTTCTACTATCGGATTATTCAAATTTAGAAATTTAGTAATTAATAATGTAAATTATAGTCATTATCTTTTTAAACGCATTATTTAACAACAAATTATAATCATGTATATAATTAATACATTTTTATTATAATGTCAGTATCAATAAATGAAAGATGGAATGCTGGTGGCATGTATATGTACATTTCGTTGAACATCAATATCTATAATTATAATTCTTGCTATATTTAGCAATTAGCGGGCGGACTACGAGAATCTGAGTAGAAAGTACCGAATTTTTTTTTAATTTTCCTTCCTCTTGTTTCTCAAACGAAAATTCAAATATTTTTTTGCCATTTTTTCCAGCAAATCTTTCGACCCGTTTTCCCTTTTTAATATATTCCAAAAAATTATATCAAAGCAGAAAAATAGGACTGGCCAAAAAGTAAAAAGGCCCTTTCAAAACAGTCATTGGTTGAAGAATAATAATAATATTGTAATGTTAGTCATTCATCGTCATGCATGATTCAACAACAACATGTCCTAGGAAAGTCACTACGTTGAAACTGAGATGTTCAAACGGAAAAATACTAGGTTTTTGCGTCGATGCGTTGACCTCCTGTGTATTTCCATTATTCATATGATTGTTTTTTTTAAATCATTGGCTCCTCGATGATGATTGTGTTTTCTGGTGTGGACGATGTATTTCAATTGGTCAAAAGGAAAAAAAAAGAAAGTCAAACACAATTGAAAAGAAAAGGAATAAATGTATTAAAAGTTCTAAAACTTGTCACGAAAATACGATCGAGTCCTAAAACTATCAATAAAGTGCATTGTAAGTCCTCAAACTTGTCGTGAAAGTGTAATCGAGTTCTAAAACTTTCAAAAAATGCAATCGAGTCCTAAGATTTTCGCAAAATACAATCAAAGAAAAGATTCGAGGGGATCAATTTGACAAATCGTTAGACTTGATTGCACTTTTTGAAAATTTTAGGATTCAATTATACTTCACCACAAGTTTTATGACTTAATTTTGCACTTTTAGAAAGCTTATAGGATTCGATTGCACTTTCGCGACAAGTTTTAGGACTCGATTGTAATTTCACGATAACTTTTAGGACTTTCGGTGCACTTATCCCTAATTTT